TTTGTATTTTTGAAGTGTAGCCTGCAACATTAGCAGTGCAATCCCCTGACACCTGATTCTACAAATTTTCCTGCCAACCCACTGAGATGCACTGCAGGGATGGTCATAATGACTGATAAAAGTTGATGAATGATCCATCTGAGGTCAAAAGGCGCCTTGGGACTAACAAACATGTACAGAGAAGCAAGAGCAGGAGAAAAAGATGTCTTTTCCTTCCAGGTGAACTGAAATTTAGTTTTACCTCAATTTGTTTTTACAAAATATAGATGAAGATATGATTTTTTATTTTTATTTTTAGGCTCAGAGTGTGGGTTTCACATGACATCGAACAGAATTCAAATTCCATGCAGCTAGCAGGCAGGATTTGGAATCCCCAGTGGTTGGGCAGAAAAAAATGATCATTTGGATAGAAGTGATTTTTTATTATTATTATTATTGTAGAAACGTGTGTGCTTTCCTTTATTGTGTGAGAAATAGTCTATTTTTTGATGTTAAGAGATTTTAAAGAACAGTGGATACTTTGTACTTATTTTGTTAAAGTATACTAGATAAGCTATATAAATATACCTCAGAATTCATTTTTGATGAGATTTTTCTTTTCATTGAATTGCACTTCACTTTATTTTCTTACAGATAATATTACAGCTTGTAACAGCTTCTAAGAGCCTGCTCTTTTTTTTGTTTTTTTTTTTTTTTTTGCTGTTTTCTGGAAAATTCAGGCACCACAATGCAATGATTTATTGGATGCAGCGGACCTGTATTTCCTTGTCAAATGTTTTTAAAATTAAACAAGATATCTATTTTCTATACTTATTTTTGTTTTAATAGTTCGACTCATACATTGACATTATGGTTCTTGTTAAAAATTTTATGCTTACTAAATTGAAATAAAAGTTTAAGATGTGAAAATCGTGGGTGTTGTGATTTATATTCAAATAGCAATATGCACTATACCATTTAGAATCGAAGTAACTAACACCTTTATCCTTGAGGGAAGAGCAAAACAAATCTGGTGATCTTTGAAATAAAGGGCAACAGGATAGTGATAATGAGCATCATTTATCCTAATGTGGGATGAGACAATGTGGTTCTGAATACTTGAGGTAAATATTAAACCTCTTGAAAACGAAGGATTGTTAAATCATTGTTTTTTGTTTTTTTAACTCTCTGAGAATCTAATGAAAGTATGGATATACTTCCTAGAAAATTCATACACCCAGAATTTTGTTCAGAGTGGTTGACTTTTCTAGAGCCACTCAGATTAGGGCAGATATGAGCTAGGGCTCAGGTTCTTTGGTTCAGTGCCTTTCCTCATAATAATAATAATATTATAACAATGAAAGTAATAATATACACACAATCCATGTTACATGTGCAATCAAGAAGGAGGCTTAATTCAACCAGAAAATGACTGGACCACATCTTCACAATGTTCCCTCTAGCTCTGCCCAAGTTACCTTCTCATTACTCGGTCTCTCTTCACCATCTAAGCATTTTCAGGTGTCTTAGTCTCACCTTGGAGTCCTGGTGTGGCGTTGTGGATTAATACGCTGGACTGTAAATTCGGTTTGAACCTCAAGGTCGACAGTTTGAGCTCACCAGATGCTCTTCGGAAACCCTATACAGAGTCGGAAGCGACTCGACGGCACTTAACAGCAAGTCTCATCTCAAACTGTGGTTCAGCCTGTCTGCTTCCGTTTAGCTGTACCAGTTTTTGTAAATATTGAAATACTCCGGAGAGTCAATTGCAAGTCCCAAGAACCTCATGCGGCGCTACAGAGTAGGACAGGGCTCCGTAGGGTACGTAAGAAACTCTAGCGGCCCTGCAGTGTAGGACGGGGCTCCGTAGAGTGTTCCTGGCTGTAAACTTTATGGAAGCAGATCGCCAGGTCTTTCTTCCACTGTGCCACGTGGTGGGTTCAAAATGCCAGTCTTCCAGTAGCTGAGCACAAACTGTGCTACCCAGGGAAATATTCTGTACTTCTACGTAAACAACTTAACCCTCAAGGTCC